TACAAAAAAAATATTTTGTAATTGGCATTGTGTCATTTTGCAAGACTCAAACTCGCGTAATGAGGCCCCCTCAATTGTAAGCAAGACACTTGATGGAAACATAACAATTAAGCTTAGATGTTCACACCAGTAGAACACATGAGATATCACAACAGTTAGATCATTCACAAAACTAGCTACTGCTAATCAGATTTATCATATCCGTTGACATAGCCATGCCGGCAGATCTCATGGTTGGCAATGGTTCCTGCATGATATACTTAGCCTTAGGTCAAAAATTGTTTTTGATAATATGAGTATTTATACTTCAACGTAACTAATTTCAGAAGTATCTGCAACTTAAATCAAATAATTGGTCCAATACTACAAACCGACAGAAACATAGTACCGATTCATACTCATAATTCAACTCTCCATTGCTCAAATGCCCATTCTAGATGAAAATTTAAAAATAAATAAATAAACAAATAAAAAAGCCTGCACTTGACGGTTTCGTGTAAGAACTAAAAATTAATTCTTTCACGTTTTAGTTTGCATATTTTTAAGGATAATGATTTGCGGGACGAAAGTGGAGGGCGAAAATGGGAGCCGACAAGTGAAGACAAGTGAAGTTGGTTAAATTACAAAATTACTCATTTAACCAACTTCACTTGTCGGCTCCCATTTTCGCTCCCCACTTTCGTCCCGCAAATCATTATCCTATTTTTAATAGCTTGCCTAAATGCCCACTCGCGCAAGCGTGTGAGTTGACTCATTATGTAATTTGCTTACTGTATTTACATATGGTTAGACTTCATTTTGATCTCTCAACTTTTATACAACTATGTTGTTGGTCTCTCAACTTTTATATAAATACCTTGTTGGTCTCTCAATGGACAAAATTTTCAATTTAGTCCTTCTAGTTTATTATTTTTTTTTTTTGGCCGAACCTTCTAGTTCATTTTAGTCCTTCTAGCTTATTTTTTTATTTCTTGGCCAAACCTTCTGGTTCATTTTAGTCCCTCTAGTTTATTTTTTCAGCTTTTTTTTTTTTATCCCTTCATCACTTAAGTGATGATATTGTACTATTATAAAGTCTAAGTCTAGGTTTTATCTCATCTTAGGTAGATAAAGATTTCCCAAAAACACTTTTTAGAGATTAGTCAATTTTAGATTAAGCAACATGAATGTAGATAATTGCCTTAGTTGTTCGAGATATCCTCTACTTGCTTTGTTATTTTCAATTAGGCTAAATCTTGTTAGCAATATAGGTTTTTCAAAACTTAAGCAATTTACAGTAAAATGCATGATGGCTCCTGAAAACCTATAAGTATTTTTGAGGATGAAATGTCTTTTTCTCTTTCTTTTTTTTAGTTGATAAAATTATGCGTCTTTGCTAGACAATGATGTCAAGAGTGCCTGCTCCAACTACTTAAGTAATAAAAGCGAAGTGCTCTTGACCTCTGGTGCTTCAATACTCTGTGAAGCACCAAACTTCAGTAAATCACATGTGAAGCACCAAACTTCATTACTTAAGCACTAGAAGCGCGAAGCAGTCGAAGTGCTTACTTTTGTTTTTTTCTTCAATTTGACAAAATTGTCCAACTTAACTTTTAATTTGAAGGGTAAAATGGTATTTTAATATATTTTATCCACTAAATAAAACCCTAAAAGGCTAAAATTGGATCTGGTAGTTCAATCGTTATCGCTTCTTCTTCTTCTTCTTCTTCTTTCTTCAAGAATACACGTGCTTTCTTCAAGATCAAGCTGTGATTTCTTCAAAAGTATTAAAAGATCAAATACTAGTCTTATTCTCTTATTCCTGTCGCATTCTATTTTTTTTTCTTTTTCTTTTTTTGCTCCATTTTTTTCGTTGATTATTACTGAACTTGGGGAGAGGTAGCCAAAGCTTCTAGTGCTAAAGAGCCTAGAAAATATACTAGGAGAAATTATGGTAGACAATCTACACTAAATTCTTCAAGTTCTAAAGGAAAAGCAATTGTACAAGAAGTTAAAGAAGAAGAGGCTAATATAGAGGAATCAAGGGAAGAGATTGAGGATTATCACTCAAGTGATGGAGATGACAACAGTGATGATGATGAGATGGATGCAGCTAACGAGTATGACATAGATGCAAATGATTTATTTTAGATTTTAGAATGATATCATGTTTTACTTATTGTTTCTACACTGCTTTAATTTGTTAACTGTTATACATGCACGCACTGCTCATTTTCTATTATAATAGTTACTATTATAAATTTCAAAATTATAAATCATGTCTTAAGTACATTTTGAAAAGGTTTAAGTTATTATATAATCATCTTGTTGTATTGCCCGCTTCACTTTCTACTTCACTACTCTAGCCTTTTGGAAGGCTGACGCTTTAGGCCACTTTATGCTTTTGACAACACTATTGCTAGGTTTCAAGCTCTCAATTAGAGATAATTATGGATTGCTTAGAATGATTTGCAAGAGTATCAAAACTGAAAGTTGTAATGCCCAAAGATTTTTGTAAGTTTTCAATAATTTTTTTAAGTCCTTCAAGGGTGTATATGTGACAAGATTAAATTTGGAGTCTAATTATAATGAGATGATGAGCCTAGGGACTAAGTTATAAGAAACCTTTAGGTTGGCGATTTTATTTTTAGAATCAAAATTGCCTTCTACCTCTCACAGGTAAAAGGAAATCCAACTTGAAGGAGATTTGGCCATTCTTAAGTGAACCGGTGGTAACTTGTCTCTTTAGGCCTCAATTTTGATGATTAAAGGATGAGTCAAAGGGAATTGAAGAGTTCTTTCCTTATTTTTTGTTAGGCCCTCCTTCGTCTCACAATTTCTCATCAATTTTAGAGAAGAAAAGGTACTAAAAGAAGGTTGTTGTTGTTCTCAATTTTAGCCAAAGGTAATTTGCTTTTCATGGTTGGTGAAATATTTAAGAATTGTGAAAGAAGAAAATTAATGGGAAATTGCATGGTTGACAGGATCAATTAAATTTTATCAAGTAAATTTTTAAAAATTGGTGTTTAATTGCAAATGTGAATGGAGCTGACATGAGAATTTTTCAAGTGGGATTTTATTGACTCTTTAGCTCCCATGAGGACACGTTAGAGTGATTGAATTACTGGAAGGGTTTATAGTTATCATTATTAAATGATAACAACCTCGTTTGATAGTGTTGACCTGTAGCTATAACAGTAGGTTTTTTGGTCTTTTAACATCTTAAAACTATAAAAAATATATTTTATATATTTTATATTTATTATACTTAATATTTTATATATTTTTAAAATAATAAAAACACATAAAACCTAGAAGCTAAAACACCAAGAAATGTTTTCAAACGAACTTAAAATTTGGCCGAATTAGATAGTTCGTTGGAAAGAAGGAAATTTTGGGATTATGTTATCCAACTTATTTGTAATCATGAGCAAGCACTAAATTGATTAAATAATCAAAATATTATATTTAATCTCTTAGTTGTGAAAACATTTTGGTTGGAATTAAAACTTAGCTGTAAAATTTGATGTGAATTGTTATGTGGTGGTGTTTTGGTTAGAACTTAACAAATAATATATATATATATAAAATTATGATTCACTTATATATAAGTCTTACATATTACACTTATATATAAATCTTACATATTATACTTATATAAAATTTTGATCATTTATATCTCAACTTTTAATAATCGAAATTTATTTATTTTTATTATATTTATTAAAGATAATTATCTTTTTTTATTTAAAAAATAATAATAAATCTCAA